ACACACACACACACACACACACACACACACACACACACACACACACAGTGGTGTGGAAATGTGACAAATCCGAAGTTTTTTAAGGCTCCAAACCCAGTTTATTTAAACCACCAAGGAGCACTTCCACTCTGAGACTGATAAATGCGGCCGCACCAGTGCCGGCTCAGAGGCGGCGGCCAAGGACAGTCACACAAAAACTTAACCAGGATAGGTTTGGTGCACACTTCATGATAAGAGCTAAAATGACTACCACTAAATGGTTTTCCTTTGTTTAACTTTCATAAGACACAGAGAAAATTAACTTCTACAATAGATCCTGTTGCCCGTAAATTGCCCTTATCTGTTTTTGTAACACGAGCTGCTGCTGTCACTATGGAGCCACCGGGTCACCCAGTCCTCCTAACGTCTTCCAAGAAACGCAATTCCTTATTTGTGATCTCGCTCCCCAGGCAGAGTAGGATGGTTTGGGGAAGCACCACGTGAAGATGTTTTCAAAACACAGATGACAGTAATAAACGGGCTCCAGTCATGGTTAAGGACAAAAGAGTCTTTAAAATCAGCTGGGAACTACCGGAATGCCGGGAAGGAGGGCCCTTTCCTCCTAGAAGTCGGGACGGTTTGTTGGAAAATCCCACCTACTACCATGAAGGAGGCCCCCATTTCCTCGCCTTGCAAATACCATGTGTGCAGCTGGGGCAGATGCCCTCCTGTCCCGGCCCCCACTGGGGCCCAGAAAAGAGAGACATCACCACGTCTCTGTCTGAACTGAGACCTCCTGACCACTCGGAGGGAGCTCGGGGACAAAGGCCTGCCCCACAACCATCCACCCTGATGCTGCTCTGCTGCCCCACACAGCAATGCTGCTGGCCAAACCCAGCCAGCACACGACACGCAACAGGGGACGGGGAAGCCAGTGCCCGACTTACCTCCTGGTGTGCCTCACTGGAGATCTTATTGGTGTAGCGCAAAACTTCCAGCTCCATATCTGTCTTAAATACTCGGCTTCAAACAGGAGAAAAGCAAAGCAGCAAGTTAGTGGCTTGCAGCAGGGGCTGGCTGGAACCCTCTGGGCCCATCACAGCCCGAGAACAAGAACCAATGGTAGCCCCGCCTGTGGCTGCACAGGGCCAGACCACACCCAGCCCTGCTGCAGGTGGGCTGCCTGGGCATGGGGCCTCCAAGCCTCAGGAGTGACAGCTGCACTAAGTGGTCTAGAGGGAAACCCGTGAGGGGGGCAGTACCACTGCCCAGCCTGACCTAACACAAGCCATGGGCACGCATCCTGCTTTGTTACAAGATCTGGAAGCTGCTGTGGGTGGTGAAGAAGCCCAGTCTCTGCAGCCAGACACACCCTGCCTGAGACTCAGCTTCCTCATCCATCGAGCGGGGATAAAATCCACATGGCAAGGCTGCTGGACCTCAATCTTAAGTGCGCAGACTCCCAGGGCCCCTCCCAGTTGGCTGAAGAGGCCTCTTCTTTCTTCCCCGCCCCCCCACATCTGCCCATTGGGCAGCTCAAGAATGCCTTGTGAGTCCAGGCCCCTGCCTGAGATGGGTAGGGGATGGGGACAGGGAGCTGGCGGCCATTTCTAGCCATGGACATGCAGGTACCAAAATGGAAACAGCTGGTCTGCAGAGAGAAGCAGGAGACCAGGAGCAGACAAGACAAGCAGGGATGAGAGAGAGTGGGAGACCCTGCTGTCCCTGCAAGACTCACTACGTCCCCTGCAACTGGAATCCTGTGGAGTCGCAGGGTCCTCACAATAAACCCAGGTTAATTTGCCCAACTTTGGTTAGGTTTCCGGGCCTTGCAATCAAGCCCATCCCCAGGGAAGACTCACATGGAGGAGTTAAGTAAAGATTAGTTTTCTACCGCCATTTCAAATAAGTAACTCCAGGCCCATGGGTATTGAATGGCAGCCGTGCCAGTCATTATGGACTTGGGCCCAGGAGACAAACCCTGGGTGGGCAGCAATCCCAGCTCTGCCCTCCCAGCTGGTTGGCCTTAGGCAAGACCCTAACTCTGTGCCTCAGTTTCCTCATCTGTAAATGGGAGATAATAACAGTATTTTCCTCAAAGGAAAATCATTGAGAGAATTGAGACTTCACGTTTTCAAAGCACCAAGAACGCAGCCTCGCACACAGTAAGCACTACATAAGCATCTGACAGATAAACTCCATCACACTCGAAGCCTGAAGATGCTGCCTCATACACACTCCCCACACTGCAGCCAGACAGGACTCTATGGTCTCCTTAGATTCTCATCAGAAGATAATATTTACAGCAGGCCCACAAAGTTAGACTAATCTCAGAAACAAACACAACCTCCCTTCTCTGTAAACTGCCATTTACTGAGGGCCTATTCTACGCAAGAAAGTCCCTGGGTGGTACAAACGGTTAACGGGCTTGGCTACTAACCAAAAGGTTAGAGGTTCAAGTCTACCCAGAGGCACCTGGAAAGAAAGGGCTGGTGATATAAAAGTCAGTCACTGAAAACCCTATGAGCGCAGTTCTACTGTGACCCACGTGGGTTGCCATGAGTTGGGACGGGACTGACTTGATTGCAACTGGCATTCCATGCAGTTCTCTAAGCGGTAGCAGAGCCTAGGCTACACTGCCCCAACTGCCCACTTCACGGCCAGGGCACTCAGCCCCCAGCAGGACAGCTGGCGGCCAGCAAGTCCGCTCTACAAAGGCCCAGCTCCTTTGCTTCAGCTGGGGACATCTCTGCAGGGCCACTGCAGTCCAGAGCTCCACATGGGATCAACTGAGGCCTCCTGTGACCGCACTGCAGCCCAACCTCTCCCCCAGTCCAGGCCTGCTCCTTCCCTCCTCTCCAGGCGTTGATTCCAGCAACGTGGTTCAATATGCTTCCCACTAATCCCAGAGTCAGCTTCCAGGAAGCCCAACCTGGAAAAGGTATTATCATCCCCATTTTACAGATGGGGAAACTGAAACTTAGATCAAATAACTTGTCAAAGGTTTCACGACCCACTTTTCCACACCTAACTCCCTTTTCCTCACACTCTAAGCAAATCAGTTCTTTCTGAATATAGAACTCTATACCAGGACAAACTACTAATCAAATATAAAGGGAAAATGGTCCTTGTCAGACATTCAAAAACTCAGAAAGTTACCTGCCCAAATAGCTTTCCTGGAGAAGCACTTAATGATGTATTCCAGAGGGAAAAAAAGAAAGAGATTATAAACCAATAAAGAGGATGCAATGGGATTTTTTAAAAAGGTAGAATTAACCAAAAGCATAATTAAAAGAAACCCCAGGGGGTGCTGGGGAGCAAGTCTGGAAAGCAAGCCACAGAAATCAGAGCTTGAAGTATGTGGCTCTGAAAAGAACGTCCACAAGAAGAATGGAACAGATTCATTTCCACAGAGAGAACTAATAAGCAGCTCAAAACTCTTAGTAGTATGATGAAGAAACTTTTCTCTTGAGAGAAAAGGTAAATAGAAACTCCAGGAAAAAAAAAAATATACATATATATATGTATAAGGAAGGCACATTTACTCATAGTAGCAAAGTAACACCACACAGCTTACTTTCTAGTTTGGGGGCAGGGGGTAGATGTAACCCAATGGTGAATCTCAGCAGCATTGATGGTGGGAGAACCAATATTATGTGTGTCCTGATTCAATGCAATAAGAAAGGCACATCACCTATGATGTATTTTAGCCAAATATTTTGAATTTGGATGGCTTTATATCTAACTTCCAGTTTGCAAGAAGTAACGGGACAGACAAACAAGCTGAATGCCACAAGGGAGCAACCATCCAAATTCAGAAAGTGGGACGTTCTATAGCACAGCCGGCCTGATCTTTTCAATAAGTTAACATCATGGGGAGAAAAACAGTCAATAACCATTAAGTGAGACATGGAGGACTGGACTGGATCTGAAGTGGAGAAACCAATCAGCAAAGACGTGTTAAGGAAAACTGGGAAAACTCGTGCTTATCTGTATTTTCTAACTTTCAACAATGCACATATATTGCTTTTGTAATAAGTTTTTTTTTTAATTTAAAAAAAGAGAAAGTCACATTCCAAAGTGGAATAAATTAAAATACAGAGTAAGTTTTTACAACTGATGGTTATACAAGAAAAAATCCATCTGCCTTTGATGCTAGAAGCCTCCTCGTGAGGGAGGCCCTGGGATGGTAACACTGGAGCCCAAGAGAAGGAGCTGCCGTCCCGGTACACTCCTTAGCTCTGCATAGACCACAGTTATTGTGATAGTAAAAAACACAGTTTCATGGTTTTTTACCTTCCCTTCAAAAAACACATTAAGACCTACTAATCACGCAAACACAATGGGCATGTTATGAACTCTGACATGGAAAGAGTGAGAGAAGGTGGAGCTGAAAGCACAGGGATCAGACATGGAAAGGACAGGGACCCGCAGCCTCAGCTTACACAGTGGGAAAGCAAGATGGCACAGGGAAGTTCACAGAGCAAGAGATAAAGGGGCATCAAGTGTACGGCAGGAGGGCACGTGCAATCAACGAAAGAACCAAACATAATGATACAGCTAGTAAAAGCTGGGTGGGGAGACAGAGCCGGTCAGAAGTCTTTGCCTCTGGGGGGAGCGTAGAGAAGGGTGAGCAGGTGTCAGCTGTCTATTATACTGTACTGTACTGACTCTGTACCAGCTGCTGTTTTCTTTTTTTTTTTTTTTAACTGTACTTCAGGTGAAGGTTTACAGAACAAATAGTTTCTCATGAAACAGCAGTACACATATTGTTTTATGACATTGGTTAACAACCCCACGACATGTCAACCCTTTCCCTTCTCGACCTTTTTTTTTTTTTTGGTGAAACTTTGGTAAAATTTTTAAAAAAATTAACGAGGTACTGTCCATAATGGCAAATATCCATTCATTCATTTCACATAACTACTGAATAAGCACCAATCTGATGAACGGGCACCAGTGACATGGTGGAATAAAACGGCACATCCTCCCTTCCTCACAGAACTCAGACTAACGAGCGAGAAACACTACCCAAGCAAACACACAATTACAGACTGGGAGAAGGGATGCTATGGAGAAAGGGTGGCCGTTGCTATGGGAGGGAGTGATGGGAAGGGAGCAATCTCCTTTGGGGATGGCAGCCCAGTGGGGAAGGCCTGGAGAAAGGATGAGGTCACCCCACCTCTCAGTAAGGTCCCAGCTTCTGCAACAGAAAGTGTCCTCAGAGCATCTTAACGGCCAGCTCCAATCCCTTTCCTAAAGGTGACCTAGTCCTTCACTACAGCTCCCATGTGACCACTGTTACCTCTCACAAAGGGAACACACTCAAGACCCTTAGGACCTGCAAAGCTGGAGCATGTGACAATGGCAAATCAGCGCCCGACGCTTTGTCCAGAGTGAGAGCCGGGTGCGCCCCTCATCCTCCTTAGAGGCTCACCCACTCACTGTCCGTCCTCCTCAGCCTACCCAGAGGGCCCACACGGAGGCACATTGCTGGGCAGACCTGGGAGCCCGCAGAAGGCCCTGCATGTCTGGGGTGTGGAGTGGGAACAGCAGGGCTTCCCAGGGGCTCCTCAGAGGAGCTGGACTCTGATTGTTCCCCCCGCCTCTCTCCATCAGTGGCAGCGCATCCTTGGGAGCTTCTGCAGACGCGGCCCAGCCAGCCACTGACTCACACCAGGAACCCGACGCCATGCAAAGAGGCCAGCCAGTCATTTCTCCCTGGGGAGTGGAGAAGGCAGCTTGCAGGCCAGCCCCGCCTTCCTTCCTAAGACTGTAAAACCTTCTGGGGAAAGTGGAAAACAAGCCCACAGACCCAGAGAAGACTTTCCAAACGAAAAGTCAAGAGGAAGCAGATCCTGAAACCTAACAGTTTGCTGTTTCTCATCATAAAGGTGCCCTCCAAGTCCACCTGCCTTGCTCCCTGTAGAGTGAGGGTCTGTGGCCTTGGGCGGGCCTGAGTCATCCTGAGACCCTGCATTCTCAGGACAGCTGAGGGCCGCTTGTGCATCGGTCCCCACTGC